ACTGTTTGAGATCACGCAATATATTATAAAGTTTCTAATAAGAGATACATAAATGTGTATATAATATTATACCTTCGCAATCTCGTTGTAAACTTAAATTTCTTCTAAAGAAATAATATTTGATTTATTATTGATAGAGAGAGCATCAAAAATAAATAATCTTCTATTTCAAAACCATTTCTTTTTCTTTGTACGAGATTGTACTCGAAGGAAATATACACGAATATATAGGATAATATTTGATTACTTTATGCAGCTGCTTATATAATATCTTCTACTTTCCATAAAGACAAAAGCGGAAATATAATATGTAGTCGTTTCCGGGTTATTTTTAAGCTTTTAGTCCTTCAATAGATATAATGCACATTTAATCACTATCTTTTATACACCAATATATATATATAAAAGATAGTGATTAAAGGTGCATTGTATCTATTGAAGGACTAAATATAATATATAGCTTTTTGTGCTCATTTGGATATCATACACATTCATAGGTCCTTCTAAAAAATGAAAAGCGTATATATGCTAATCTTAATTTATTCATATATATATATAAATATAATTTGATAAAAGTGATTAGCTTTAAAATAATAAATATTATATTTTATATGCAATGTATAAAAAATCAATAAAGAGTACAATTTTTTTACATTTTTGTAAAGTCGGTATACATACACACATTATATACTAATAAATTCAACATAAAAAAAATGAGATTATGACACAAAATATTTTATTGCAAAATTTAACGCAATTAAAAATATAAAAATGTGATGACTCTAAATGTAGAATATAAATGCAATATTTCCACGCGTAGATTGCCATTCCCTTGACAAGGCATCGTGTCGCCCGTCCAACTTCCGTTTAACTCGTTTTTGAATTCAAATCCGACAGTGACAGTGATTCGTTCACCGATGGGGAAGATAGGCAATAACGTCACCGAGAAATTAATGTATTAATTCACGCTACACTCTTGTCGATAAAAAAAAAAACGAGAAATTAAAAGCATAAAACGGAATGGCGTGGCATTCTATATGCATACGTATTACATATGTATAATAAACTTTTTTGTACTTTCGTAGGGCATCGTTGTCGTATCAAGGGACGGAAAGGGGATTCGCTATCTAACCCACTTTGGTCCATCCTGCGCGACCGCGTGAAAACGCGTTCCAATTTCAGTAACGACGATTTACGGCTGACGTGCCCACCGTGACTATCGTCGAAATTTCGAGCAGGCTCTCGCGGAACTTTCTAATCGCGCGTGTCGCGGCAGACTGAACGTCTATACAAAGAGATCGATGAGCTCGTATTTTTTGTAGCGCAGGAATAAGACAGCTCCCTTAAACTTTCTTCATAAATTAAAAGAGTATACGCCGGTGCATCCGCGCGCGCGCGCGCGCGCACACACGCACACACACATACATACACACATATAGCAATACAACGAGGACAATGGTAATTGCGTCATGCGATTGACAGTCGGGCCAAAACATAATCGTACAATGAACGATTTAACAATCGTGGATTTTCGAGATATTCCGAGATAACTCGCGGAATAATAAACCCCGCGAGTTGCAGGTACTTAAGAACCGTTTTCACGACAAACTTCGCGATAAAAACGTCGCTTATATCGCTCTGTCACGGATCGATCGGTATCCACTTTGAACGAGTCCTATCAAATGCCTGATAACGCCGATGGCTCCGAGTTGGAAAAGACACGACACGGCGCGATTCGGCGTAATATCGAAACCCACGCAGGGTGGATCAAAAGTTCGAAAGTGCAGCAAGGCGATATTATTGTATAAACGGATGTGTGAGTTGCCCCGGTGCTCTTGAGATCACGCCGGGGGAATATATGTAGGGCCGCATTCGATATTCTTTAGAATCTCCCAGCGATCCCCATTCAACCCATTCTTACAATGTATATACTGGATTTAGCTCGTGGAGATAGATATTCCTAACATTCGTTGAAACGGCCGGCTTTACGGCAGCTTTTGCGCTGAAAGCTCGCTCGCATACAGCTCTCTCCGTTCTTAAAGCTCCTCGACGCGTCTCTCTCTCTCTCTCTCTCTCTCTCTCTCTGTCTCTCTCTCTCTCTTTCTCTCGCTCTCTCTCTCTCTCTCTCTCTCTCTTTCACTCTCTCGCTCAAATATCTCGCGTACGTAGGTATGAACATTCTATTCCTCTCGCTCCACACGTGAGACACCCTTCTTATCGCTCTTTCCTCGTCTCTTTACCGAGCCGACAAAACCGAATTGTTCGTCGATCGGCTATCGGCGATCGTCTGGTTCCCCTTTCACCCTCCTGTTCCTTTCTCTCTCTCTCTCTCTCTCTCCACCCTTTCGCTCTCTTCTTCTACCCTCCTTTCATTCGGATCGTCACCGATCTCCGCTTCCGTTTTTTCTCCTCACGCGATTCTTTACACCTTCTCTTCTCTTTTTTGCTTCAATTTCATTGCTTCCGCGTCTCTTGGCATCGTGCCGCTCTATCTGTGCGCGTACCAATCAACAAATAGGAAGCGAGATGCAATAAAAGACGCAGATTGCCGCAAGAGAATGCAAATAATACGGATACTGCATCGTTATCTAAGAAGGAATTATTGATCGCCGTAATACGGCGATTTCTCGCTTCTGCGATCATTTGCAGAGCCCATGCGGACCAATTTATTCGTATTAGCATGTTGCCGTGACGATAAAATTTCCATACGGAATATCTTTCGGATGTATGCATAGCAAAATTTGTGATACTGTATATTTTATGCTAACGTATAAGAATTCATTCGAGAACATTCCCTCTTACAAGGGATAGCTTGACACTAAGCTAGCTTAAGATTCGAATGCATATTGCATGGTCGGCCGTCCTTTAATTATCGGACATCGAAGCATTGAAATCAAATGAAGATAAATTACAGCAGCCACGCGGCCACGTTATTTATAGTACGTACCCGATCGCGCGCGAAATATAATTTCTCGAGAGTTTATATAGATATACAATATGATCCTGCGTAGAATAAATAAGAATCACAGCGTGCGAACTTTGCTGCGACTCTTCTCTCTATACTAAATCAAATCACGTTTCCCGTTTTTCCTCAGCGGACATCGGGATAAAGACATCCGACCAGATTCCGTGCACGGAAAGAAGAGTATCGTTTTAATCTCGTTGACCCTAATGATAAAACCTTTTACGTAGCCGAATGACGGCAATATAATTATCTACTTCTTCGATAATAATTAATCGAAACGGAGAATACTGGTACGCCTGCTTTTTGATAATTTGCATTCTACGTCTGCTAATTGAAAAGACTAATGGACTTTGAAGATATAACAATATAGCTTTTATTGAGGAAAAAAAAAGTAAGCGAAGAATAATTAAAATAATAAATTAATAAAAATCTAATTTTCTGATAATTCTTGTAATAATACATATATTAATGTAATTAATATATTATTCGATATTAATAAAAAAATATCACATAGTGGAATCATAATTATATTTATTATCTTTTCACATAAGACCGATTTCAAGTTTGACGTTTTATCTCAAAAAGATTTCATTAAAGTTATCAAACTTAAATTCTTTGTATTCTGGTATTTTATATTCTAACCCGCGTATCTCGGTTCAACTACTGCCTCTCGTCTCTCGATGCTTTTTCGGAAACGCGCACGTTCAGGGATACATACGATCTATATACCTATACATATATCGCGAAGATATCCGTGCGACTCTGTGCTTCGAGTCGAGTCTTGTGCAATGCTCCTACCTAGACCGGTGAGTATTGGAGAGGCATCGCAATGCTTGGAATGTTTAATACCGGCGCAACGACACGGCACGGAGAAATGGTCGGCTTCAACCGCGGAATAAATCTCGTGGAATCATACCCGCTCCCGCTGCCATTTCTTGTCTGCCACGTGCTTTCCGAGAAATTTTTCAGAGGCGAAAACGCTTATTGCATTTCTATACGTAACACTCCGCCTTATGCGGCGGGTCGTCGGGTGACTTTTACGCAAGTCACGAGTTTAAGATACTAAGTTCATTCGCCAGAAAAAAAAAATTCACCGTTCACCTCCCCGCAGTTGGAAATACCGCGAGCCGAGATAATGAAAAAGCTCTTCGTTCCAATGTATTGTTTTATGCAAAAAACGACAAATTTTTCAAATAACCTCCCTTCCTCTTTCCTATACTAAGAGACGCACGACTCATTAACACGCCGCAATTCAAGATGAATGGCACATTTATCTCTCGAGTATATAACGCTACGAATGTGTGGTCGGACCACGTTTTTGCTCGTTAATTCTAGCCCTGTCATGAAAGAGAGGCATGCTATTTTTTTTTTCTTCCGTAGCAAGTAAAACGTCCCGCTAATTACGCGTCCTTACTTGTCCCTGGCCAAATACGAAGAACCTTTCGTAACTTCGTTTTCCCTCTTTAGAGTTCTGCGATTTCTGCCAGCCATTCGGCCTGATGGTCCTGTCGTCCGAAGTACGGGATGTTTGCCGGGAACGTTTAATTGCGATCGCCAAAAGTGGACTTGAACGGCGATAGAACGTTCGTTAGAATTTCATTAGGGTCGTAAGATTGAACGCGTCCGAGTGATTCGCTTTGAAAGGGCTCGGCACTATCGCCAGGAAACTGCTTAAACCGTGTTTGCGGCGCGCATGGCCCACTGGTCATTGCCGAAAAGCCGATTTGTCGGCCCGACATCGTAACGATAGAAGCGCGATAGTAAGAGGCAATGGCTTCGCTGATACGAACTCGCATGTATTGTGCGGATACGATTAAATGGAAGCGCATCCGGACGTCTTCCGAAAATTTCACGGTGCCTAGAGCAGAGTTAGTTTCATAAACTAGAATGAAAACTAAAACTTTTATAAATGTGTAGATATATATAAATTTAATAATTATTCGGTTCGTCTGAGATAATACATTTCAATTATTAATTTATTCATAAATAATCATGTAAACAATACAAATATTAAGACAACAATCATATAAAATATAACAAAGAAGGAATAAAAAGTTATAAAGAAAACTAAATTAAATCTAATTATTCTTAATTAAGTTCGATATAACTTGTAATTACGCAGAAATAAGTTTCGTCTGTAAAAAAGAAGGAAAAGTTCGAGTTTTCGTGCAATTAAAAAAATTTTCTTAGTGCAGGGGATACACTCGTTCTCGATATTTCGTATAATTGCGGGCGTTGCACGATATCTTCGTTACCTGCGCGATAATACTATTTGTATATTTCGAACGTAGGGACGGTCCGCCGCTTATAAACTTAAGCTTGTCGGCAGCTTTAGCCTTATCCTTAACATATGGATCGTTCGTGTACTCTGGAAACTTGCTGAAGCAACCATCGTGACTTCCGCCAGGTTTCTTGGGGAAAGGGACGTAGAATCGCGCCATACCGAGTTTCTTCCTTGCAATTTCGACCGGACGGACGTAAGTGGGTCCTGGCATCTCATCTTCGTAAGGATTGGGGGGAAAATAATCCAACGGCGCACTCGTCGTCAAGAATCGGCCTTCAGATACCGTCTCTGTTTCAAAATATTGTGATTTAGAATTCAATAAATAAGAAAAGACACGTTCGTCAACAATTAAAACAAACTTTTAAAATCCACAAAATTGTCAGAAATTAAACACATTATGTATATATAATTTACGTATGTATTAAAAGAAATATATTGACTAAGAATAATTTTCGGATAAAAATATATAAATACATAAGTGGATAACGCGAAAGAAAATTCTAATTTCTATCAAAGTTTAGTAGTAATTAGATTTTATTTTTTTTTAATATAAAAAATATTCTATCATATATGAAGCTTTTATGTTATGCATTTTAAAGAAATCCTCTGAAAGAAAAAAAATTGGATATTTACGACACTAATTTAGGTTTTATTTAATTACTGCCGAATATTTTTTTTTCCAGAAAGTTTACGTGAAAGCTAAAAATGTTTTCCTCGCTAAAGGCAACAAAAATACACAATTCTTGTTTTATAATAAAACTATAATTAATCACATGCTGCCATATAAAATGAAGGTAGTATTCCGATAAAATTTCAATCTACGTCTATATTCCGTTTTCTTATTATTACTTTTTCACATAGTAATAGTCCTTATAGCACATTGTTCGTGTATGCGAAATAATTAAAGAAAAGTGAGAAAGATGACAAAATATAATTTAAATTTTAAAATAATTTTAGTTATCGTTTCTATTGGCAGTATAAAATGTAAAAAAAAAATCCATATTATTATAGGTACTAATTTTGCCTAATTATACAAAAATAATTAGTGCTTGGTGACAAAGATACATATTTAATTATACATAATTATTTACAAAAATTAAAATAAAAATTATTGTATAAATTATATTTCACGTATAAGTAATTCAAACAATTTTCGAGAATAAAAAATGCAATATACAAGACTTATTAATTTTTCTTCGTATAGAATACCGTCTGCAGAATACATATATTTCGTAACGGAAGAATTATAGATTCCAAAGTACTTTATAATATACTTTATAAAATAAGAAAGGAAAGGAGAATTTGCTCGACAACAGCGCAGTTGTAGCAGCGCTTGTACACGTGACTCCTGCTCTCATCATATTCAGTTCAACATCGAAATAAACTCGTCGTTCTAAAATATGTCAGTTACTAAGAGTGAGAGAAGAGAAAGCAATACTAAGAGTACGCTTACTACTTTGCTTTTTTTTTAAGTGAGGAGTTACTTTTTTAAAAATATCTTAATGGCATTCACATTCCGTAACCCGTATCGCCCGCTAAAAATTATGCATATGAATAATTTATCAAGCATTATGCGCAAGGGAGAGTGAAGATCAGATCAGAAGCAGCGTAACGCAAACACATTTACTTTTACGAACTATCCCTCCGACAGGATCGTAAGGCTCGTGGGAATACGACGGATAAGGATTGAGGCAAATATCCGCGTAACCCGGTCCACCAAGCGGATTGGGTTTGATCTTCATATTAGGCAGAATTGGTGTCTTTTTTTTCGCTTCCACTCTCGGTTCCGTACTGAAGTAAGAAGATTTATCAAAGCATCCATACCAATCTCCGGGCGACGAGTGTTTCTTTGATGGAGATGTCGGTAGCATGCGGCCACCAATCTTCCTTTTCTCATCTTGTAACTGAAACAGTCCCGTCAAATGCATATAGTATAAAAAGAACACATTTTTCGCTCCTTCCTTCCTTCTTGTAAAAGCGAAAACTAGACTGGAATAAGCAACCTCGAATAGTACGATTGGAGCAGATTAAAGACGCAGGTCAAATATTGGTAAATGAACGATTTTAATGACGTGTCTTACGCGCTGTTTAATCAAATGCTGCAAATCAGCTTCAGCTTGATTAGCGAATCTTTATAATCGTGCACATTAAATTATAATTAAACTTTATTAGAAGAGATTCTTTAAGAGGTATAAATTTTCCCTCTGACAAGGATTTAATTATAATTTAAATTTCAATCAATATAATAAATCCTATACACAAACGCGCTTTCTTCCTTTCTCTCATAGCTTTTTCATCTCTTATTGTTAGTCTCAATGAATGGTCAGGTTGATTTTATGTAGAACATTTTTACATACTCGTTGCTTCACTTCTTCACGCCACGGTTCCGTAAGTGCCTCGCCTTCAAAAGCTCGCTCAAATTTCCTCTCGAATAATTTCTTAGAAGGTCCACTGAGAATTTGACGCCCTTTCTCGATGCCCTCGCGAAATTGTACAGGACCCCGATACTGATCAAAAGGGCCCGATACAGGATCACTGAAGAAACCTGGAAAGCTTCATCTGTGAAGATTCTAGAAATCTATAGTTATACACGCATTGGCAATTTTATCGAAATATGCATTACCCACTCGCTCGAGATCAATTTTTCCATATTCACGGCCGACAATTGGAACATTTATTATACGTTTCTTACTCATACTTTTTATTTTTATATAATTTCGGCATTATTTTCTCTCTAAGGTAACCTAAAGCTTTATCACGTCACGATGAAATATATATATATATATAATATAGTAATGCATGTAATATAAATCACGTTACGGCATCTTGAAGATTAACTATAAACTTATGAGTAATTGACCTGGTTCCTGTCAGTAACGAGCCATCCTTAATGAGTTGACGCCGGTACCAGCGGATATCTAGCGGCATTCTCGTTGTGGTAACAGTGGAAACATTTCATTACCGCCTGTTTGAATAGACTGCACAGAATGAAGGAGTTGCGTACTTACGAGAGCGACTCTATCTGTGTACTGTTCTGGTCTTGTAATGTCGAAATAGAGAAGTCACGTCGTCTCCTGAGAGATAACGAGCAATGATAGAGCGCTTAAATGAAAAATATCTATGACAATCAATTTGCGTTCGGAATCAATCAGTCGCTTGTTATAATGCTTCGTAATCTACACTATCTTTCCACCATCTTATTTATATTCAAATCATAGCAATCGAAACGCGGTCTCGCTTTAATAACGTTCCAAACAATCTAACTTGCGTTACGGCAATATCGTTCAACCAAAAGTTTTCCAGGCCTCCAAAAGGCCGAGTTCATCTTCGCCCGTAGCCATGCGTATGCGTCAACCCGATAATTTCCACAGTCCCTATCTGGCACGATGTTTCCGCGCAATCCACCGTATAGTTCGCGAAGCGGGGCGACAACGGCCGCGATAATAACTAAACTTTCGATTGCCAGGGCAAGCCATTAAGATAAGACTCGAGGCAGCTAAGAGGACGCCGGGTTTCCGAACGAGAATAGTTGCGGAATCCGTAAGTGGTCGAGAGCGAAGGCTGCGGGAAAGCGGTAACGGAAAAAGCGAAATGCGAGAAACCGACGAGGAAAGAAATCGACTGCCCCAGGAAGGAAGAAATGGGGAATGGGAGAAATTGGAAAGATAAACGAATATAAGAGAGGAGGGATATATAAAAGGAGGGATGAACGAGAGACGGAGGCGAAAGTGGTAGGAAGGTCGACGGAGGAGGTGTCAGCGATGGAAATAGAAAAATGTCGATATACATCGGCCACGCCGATAAGGTGGTAGATCGATTAAGATTAAACGTCCCGGAGTGTCGCCGAGTTTAAGACAAGTTACATTGGAAACTCGGGGATTGCCTTCCGCGGAATTGAAATCAAGGACGTGACCATTTAATTTGCAAATGGAAGGCGAACGATTGGCACGACTCAGCTCAACTCAACGCGTTGGAGAAAACTGATGATGATGATGTGTCTTCTGGTTACTGAATATTCCCCGAAACCATTAAAAGGTTAATAACGTATAGTTTATAAACTGACGCTCTCTAAAATGATCCAGAATCGTCAAAATAATAAGGAGAGAGATTATGCGGCGATTTTCATCTTTGAACAGTTTAAATTATTAATAATTTAAAATTAAATTTCTCATGTAAAATATAAAAAAATAAATATTTTATAAATACCTGATGTTAACATACGATTCCCTAATATTTTGCGCTTCATCATTATTTTTCCCAAAGTATCGCGGAAATAGCAAACAATTAGTGTGTGATTATTATCTTACGATGTATACTCTAGCAAGAGTCGAAATTAAAAAGCGATAAACGATATCGACAGTTTCAAAAGGTCGCACTGTCTTGATTCGATTTCATTAGCAAGAATAATCGACGCTGAAAATACCTATCGTGAATAATTCTAGTTTAAAATATTATCCGGGAAGATTACAGAAAAAAATTAAAGAAAGGATCAAACCAGGGTTTATCGTTCTAAGTGGAACACGATCGAAGAGAAACGTTTCGTTTGTGTGTGTGTGTGTGTGAGTTCTGAAATTCCAATTCAATTACTTTAATCCTCTGCTATCCGTTTACGAGACGGCTTGCGCGAGAAGACATGTCAATAGCGGCGACAACAATGGCGTAGTCATAAATATAAAAGAGACAGAACGAGTTATCCGTATTCTATAATTGACACGTGTTCCAATACGGAAACCGGACGGTCTATTAAGAACGGTCGCGAAAGTACAGAATTATCGATGTCGCGGTAACATTGAGGGGCCATGTCCATTAATTCAACCTTAGTCTAAGAGGTTTAAATAATTAATCCGGCGACCCACCCGTTGCGATTAAAGGCTGCAATTTAAACCGAAAATTCGCCAGAGACGTCCTTGCCGGCGACCGCATCGTCTTTCTATATTCCCGTTTCTCTAAAAGAGATACGAATCAGCAAACTGCAACGCGAATCCTTTGTTCAATCCCAGCGCTCACAGATATGTAAATGATATAGAAATGAAGAGCTCTCGATCCGTATATTACATTAAAATACATCGATATTGTCTCTAGAATTTATTTCAGATTACAATTCGATTTATACATATATGAATGATAAATTCGTAAGTTGTGTCTATTCTCAAGCTCCGTTTTTTATTTTATTATTATTATATAACTGCGAGACGCACAACATATATAGAAATTAACGAAAGACCATGTATTCCGAGCCTAAAGCTACACGGAACTAAACTACATTACCTTGCTTGAGCTATCACACGTGCCGTAGTCAAAGAGCCGGGCCTGTTTATACTGACTGAGTGTCGCGATTGTTGGCAAATTGGTGGTGGACGGATCTGTCGACGATGGCCGGGGTTTGATGAAGTAATGGACGTTCTCTGTCGGCGTGTTGACTTAGCCAAGCCATATACATCGTAATGGTACGTACACAATGCCAACAGGCAACGTAACGACTGCCAATACGGGTTCAGCTTTGTACAGTAAGCTCCGTGTATATACGTACACGCGTATCAGTACACAATGCGTTACGTATGTAATGTAAGCTATTGACTGTTCTTGCCGTCTCGTCGTCCATTTATACCGTACTGTGATTCCTGTTAACGTTTTTTTCCGATATAACTCTCGCACATTATTTCATATTTATTTAATATTTTGCGACATATTCTATTTTGTAAAAAGAATATCTTTTGAATGTATATATATGTACACAGAACACATCGATACAAGAATTATTAATCCATTAATTCGACACATAGCGATATATCCGAAACAATGATTAAAGCTGATAAAAAAAAAAAAAAAAAAAAAAAATACGATGGCATGATTTTTATGAGCGAGAGTCCGGACCGTGTTTTTTTTTTTTTTGAACATGCGCAACTTGACTGCGTCGAGATGACGCATGGCCTGCACCGACGCGACGGTATGCACCGCAAGATTCCACGCGTCGCGTATCCACTACGTGCCGCCGCAGTGCGAAATTATGACAAAGGGTTTATGTCTTTCTCTGCTCTGCCACCTTGCAAAAAGAGAAACGCCGCTCGCACGCGAGTGGTAGGACAATAGGGGTAGTATGCAACGGCACTGCCTCGAGAGCTGTCCCGAAATAAAGCGGTTTGTTTCGGCGATGTTGTTTTAGGAATACCTGCATCAAGTCTGGTTCGCTTAATCAAGGGAAATATCATTGCGAACGTTGACAAAGGGGAGCGACGTGTTTAACGCTATTATTCCGAGATTCGCGATTGTTTTACATATAATTACAGGAGCCCTTGATGCGCCTCTACAAAGAGATCAAATTTAATAAATCTTGTCTCGTTACATTAGCGAGATTTCTTTTGATCCATTTATAGCCGATTGATTGTTTCTCGACGATATCTTATCGAATCTTAATACCAGAGATATCGCTCTCGCGTAGAAATTTACTCAGAAAGAAACTCGGGGAGAGAAAAGCAGAGAAATATTTCGCGCGAGACAGTCGCGTGGAAAGAAATTATGAGCAGATAAAATAACTTGTCTATTCGCATCCGAAGCACACTCATGCGCGATGATGTTACGTCGTTTCGTTTACGTCAACAACGACGGGAATATACAATACTTTTTCGTCTCCCTGTCCGCGCGCGTTCCGTTCCTCTCTCTTTCACGCGACGCGAACGTCAGTACCATCATTCTGATTTAGTATTTTTCCAGGACAGTTTATTGCTGAAAAGGGAGCTTTTAAAAACCGCGACGCTTAACGTACCCGGTCCGCCCAGTATATGGGAGGAATGGGGTACGCTCTTTTTTCTGCCGGGGCTCTCGGTCGTTTCGTTTTATTCAATTTTTCGTCCGGCACTCGGCGAAGCCTCTTCCGGCAGCTTTTATCATGGCTCGACTCGTCCAGTGAGTTTATCATTGTGTCGCTTTCCTGGACCATCACGGAATCCTCGAATAAGTCATTTCGACCGGCACGATCGAAGGAAATAATCATGGCATTTTTCGGAGATGTTGCGAGAGAGTCAAGAGCATCTCGCGAACGTGAGATCGATTACGTGTAACAACCACGGTATCGATTTCCATAATCATGCCGGAGAATGTCCGGGCTTTCGCCGAGGAGTTTCTCTTTTCGATGAATAAGACGGCTATAAAGAATGCAATAGGGTAGAATTAATGGGACATCTCTCTTGGTAATGGATGCTGAGTAACGTCCTCCACCGATAATTTTTCTTCTCGGATCCTTTGGACGTAATTCAAAACCAATAAAAGTTCATCAAATTTGCACAATGGAATTAACACGTAAGGTAGAAGGGACTTGAGCCAATTAGGCTATTTAAATGCCGGGAAACGCAACGCAGTAGTCTTTCATTATCTTACGAGAGGTGTCATTATTGTAAAAAAAAAAAAGGAGGGTGAATAAAGAGGAGACACGTTCAATTTAAGTACTATATATTTTATTGTATCTTGCATTCGAACCTTTATAAATAATGAACAATGAATACCGACATATTAAATGAGCTTCCTATTTGACTCTTTCTCTCTCTCTTTCTTTTTCCGCCTTTAATGATGGACGACGACCAGGCATCATATAAGTTTGTGTTCTCACTTTAATTGCATTAATAATGATATAATAGTACCAATAACTTACAGACTTGCTTACAGACTTGTTTTAACCATTATCGTGTATACATTAGTATGTGGATGCATGGGGATGAAATATGATTAATGATGATAGAATATATTGGAGAGCGTGCATATACACACAAACACACATATACACTCGCACACATACATGCGCATACGTCCACCACACACATTCTGCCGCTCGTCCTTCCACCTGCGGTTCTTCAGAAATAACACGCTGCCCTCGCGGCTTAACCTTCTAATTTCGAGTTATATTATCGAACACACGTAGATTATTTTGCTTGTAATCTCGCGCGCGCACTCTCACGCACAAACGTATACATACTCACGTGATATTATCCAACTTGCGCGAGCGGTAATCGTCACGTCGCACGGTGGACAATAGAGGCGTATTGCCTGGGCAAAATGAAGGGAAAAAAAGAAATTAAAAACGAAAGGACGCTTTTATTCTCCGGAGGGCTGTTTTTAATTAGTTAATTAGATTAGTTAATCTCCTCAAGATTAGCGAGCCAAATGTAAAACTATTTTAAAGCAAAAATTATTAAAAAAATTGGCGTACAGAGATAAGCGTATATATATATATATAAATTTACCATATCAAAATCTAACAATTGTATCGCTCACAAATAAAAATTACATAATATTCGAGTGTAGACAAATCGTATTTTTATATGTATATTTATATATTTTTTAAATATTAATTAGTAATGTATTGAAACAGAACTTCTAATAATAGAAGTTTTACGAGTCTTACTACGGTAAAGAGATCATCTCGTAATGAATCTATTATCGAGTCTTATTTTACTATTTCTTCGATGATATACATAATATCTTCGAGACTCGCTTGGGCCGATAGAAATTAACGCGATGTAATTATTTTTACGCTTACTGTTGCATTTATAATTTGCTTTGTTTTTTTTTTAACTGAAAAACCAAAAGAATAACTGAAAAAGATGATTAAAAATTATTCTTTGACAAAGAATCCTTTCTCCAAGTAATTTCCAAGAATATATAAGTAATATTCACCGCATACAGCTGGAAAAACTTTTCCTATCTTTCTCGAAAATGAATTCCGCGTGAGCGAACGTCGGAACAAGCAAACAATCGAAACTGATGACATTCGGTCCTATTGCCTTGTCGGGACGAGCGAGAATATTCTGCAAAATTTACGCTTACCTTACGCGACACGACGTAGTTATAAAACTGTCCGTTGAAGTTTGCGCGCTTGACATTAATTCACAAATTGGCCTCTCGCGGATTAAAGCCATCCGAATCTTACGCCTTGCAACGAAACAAGAGAGAGAACGGAGAGTAAACGACGTCTCGAAACTTCTCTTTAAGAAAATAGCAGAACGGTGACAGAAGAAGCCGACGATAAACCCCGAAGGAACGTGGGAGTAGCCGCGGGAAGGGAGGAAGAAAAGCCTGAATGCGAAAGTTTGTCCGCGAAACATCCGGACGTCGTTGCGATTCAATGCATTCCCGATACTCTCGTCGCCCCGACCCTCTCTCTCTCTCTCTCTCTCTCTTTCTCTTTTTTGCGCTCGGAATAATAATTTAATTTATCGCGGGCATCGGTTATATGCGCGGATGTGGTTTTTGCGTAACGGATCGCGCACGGCCGCACGCGTCTCGTTGAAATATTTTGCACCTGCTCGTGCAATAATGCCTCTGTTAAATTATCACATTACACAGCCGGCGAACGCGGAGAGGGAGGGATGGGAGCCGGTCGCCGCGCGAATAGAAGCTACTGATTTACGCCAAACTAACCGTACGTCATTGTCAGATAGGGCTGCTTAACGGTTCATTTTCCATCGGTACGATCGGCAATTTGTTGGTCGATCGATCCTCGTCCGACTGTCGCGCTTTTACGGTGTGCCACACGTATTCCGATCCCGCCCGCGCGTTGCAGTTCTGCCCGAGTACATCCCCTAATGCAATCGTACACCCACTACTACATTGTGCGCGCTATAAAATTTCTAAAATGCAAATGCTACTCGCGTACATTATTTTTGCGTACGGATTTAATTCGATATTTTCAGGATTTATTTAGATGTCGCAGCATTTTCATAAATTTCTTCAATGATGTCTTTTTTCATCGAGTAATTCTGTAATGTTTTATTCAAATCGATTTAATAACTTTAAAACATTTTTTTCTTAAACATAATTTTTTTTTTATAAAAGAGTGACGAATTGAAAACCGCTCGCGCAATAATTTTCTCTCAGTAAAAAGTTGGTACTCATTCTCATAAAGCCGCACAGTTTCTTTGTTAATACATATATCAAAATAATTTAATTTTCCAATATTTTTATTTTTGAAATAACTGAGAAGTTATATCATTATTATATTATCATTATAATCAAATAAAATGATATATAATTATATATATAACGAAAAATTGGTTTTAAAAATCCATTAATTCAGTATTTACAATATTTCAATAATTTTATATATGTATAAAAAGCGGCTACTAGATCTTTTAATGCAATCAATGCGGATTTCATTTACTATTCGTTAAGGTCAGGCATATTTTAAGCGAACAAACGAACGAACGAACGAATAAGTAGATCTTCATCGTCCATGTTCATCGTATATTGGTAACGCCGCGGAACTATGAGCATGAATATTAACACTGAACATTGATGATACGCAACTATTGTTTTATGCTTGAATGATTTCGACCTATTACGAGCCTCGAAAATATTGCGTCTACCAGATGAAATTGAGTAACAATGACAACTTGTATGGAAAGAATTGTTGTTTAACAATTACTTTAGCAATTTTTTATTAACAATGATTATCATCGATCGCTTCATTTGCAAAATTGCTACGTAGATGCCAATCGTTTGTTAACAGCACATAAATTTCGATTTGTTTCAAAGAGTCGCGCTTGTAACGCAAACTAGAAATGTAGAGGATGATATGTAGATCTGCGGATTTTATATAGTCTGTAATTATCAAAAATTGATGAATATCAGACAAATGGGAACATTTTTATTATTCTGTATACAACGGGGTGTAATTGTATAATTGTATTGTAGACCGATCGAAATGAAACAAAGTTTTTAGTAATAAACAGTGGCAGATTTTTCCGTTTCACGGATATTGAAAAAGCTGCTTGTTCTTCGTAACAATCGGTATGCCAAATTTTTTGGACGGTGTCGTTTGACAAATTCATGTTTAACGTTTCGAAATACCTCCTTTAATATTAAGATTCTCATACTAAAAATACATAACAGTGTACAGACATAAAATATAACTTCAACAAACATATACATATACTTATATATATATATATATATAAATATATATATACAAAGGTGTATATATATACAAAAGTATATATATACTCATACCAATTTTTGCAACATTACAAAACGTGTTTGCTGTACCCTCGCAAGACTCGTCTTCTTCGATTAATAAAAAATTTTTCGTTGTTATACCCTCCGAAAAATTATGCATTAAAACTTATAAGAGAATGATACGCATACAAATATGTATATTCGTAAACTTTTAATTGCATTTAATTATCTGAGGAACAAATAGGACTTATCTACGTCGGTATACCGAAACGTTTGGTGACACAGGTGAAACAAAAATAAAAGAAAAATATCGTCGATATCAACTGATCGAATCACACCACGCGGCCACCAGTTCTCTAGCAACGTTACACGAACATATGTCATAGTCGCGCGTTATATATCACATGAACGGAATCTCTTAATTAACGGATCCGTATTTGAACATTGTGGGGGGCGCAAATAACGCGCGCAATAACAACGCGTCAACATGCCAGTACCAGGAGCTCGAGACACGAGGAAGGGAGGGATGAAAAGTTTCTCCTCCCGAAATTCGCAGAGAGCGCGAACACCACTCGTCCTGCGCAAATCCCGCATCGATCGGCGCCGGAAACGATTAGTCAAGTTTCTCGAGAGATACACTCGGAAATGTCTGTTGAAACTGATACGCGTCGTCTCGTCGAAACTGCGAGATGCGATGGTGCCTCTAGCGAAGCTACTCGTTCGAGAGTTAAGTCCGCGAGATCTCGAAACGGATTCGGTTGATACCGTCGTCTTTGTCACGCATATACATGTATATAACCGTGACGTCCCGCGTGAGACTAAAACTCGATTCTCTATACGTACTTCGCACCAATTGCATGTGGTTTCCTGCGAAAGTGGCGGAGAGGGCCTAATGCCCAAAGTTCCCGTCCGTTTCGAGAGGACATTCCGAGCGCGCGAGTCTCCATGGGGAGGGAGAAAGTTAGCACCATTCGAATCGCAGGTCCAAAATGCACCGGGGTCATCACGGTCACCTTAAGAGCGACGATAGTGATATCACAACGGTGAAGATAAAGGTCGCTCTCGGGGCCGAGGTACCGCCGTGTTGCATGGCAGCTGGATTCTCCCCTGCAACAATACGGAAACATCCTGCCATTAATTTAATGCACTCCATTGACTCCGCCTCCTCTCTTTCGATCTATTTTTCTGTTTACGATGCGCTGAATGATATTTTCGAGACCGCAGGTCGAATTTTTTAAAAATATCTCTGCGGAGATGTTTACGAAAAATCGTCGCTCATCCCTGATATTTCGCTGATATCGCACCATAGACAGAACATGACAGATTAAAGAGTCGAATATTATTTTTCCAACACACGTATTTTTATAAATATTGTATTTCACGAATTGTGGCCAGTAAAAAATATTAAATACTAAATATTTGCAAATTTCACATTATTAAATTGTTATCCTTTCGAATAAATCAAACATGTTCGTGCTTTATCTCACGATTAAAATAATACCTTAGTTTGAACAAAAAAAAAAAAAAAAAAAAAAAAAAAGGGAAAACTGCAATTCGTATTTTTTCCGGTAATAGAGGCGCGACGACGACGACGATAAAAGCGACGACCCGGTGGCGCGCGTGACGCAACCCGGGATTTCCGCGGAGTTTTCCGGGATTTCCGCGTATTGCTTTCCAAAAAAAAAAAAAAAAAAACGGAGAGCTTGTTTCCGATTTAAGATTTAGTAGCAGAAAAGATGTATTATTCTAAGGGGCTGGAGAAAGAGAGAGAGAGAGAGAGAGTAGATTTTAAAAGAAGTATATGAGTTATATACGTGAAATCTCCGCGCTAATAATTGAGAGATATATTTCTATCCTTCTTTCCAGCTTTGTCGAAGTAAAAATGTCTTGTTATTATAACATTTCATTTATCCGTTTCTTATCTTCTACCTTTTATAAATTGCATTTCTATTTTTACGTCTTAATGCTATCGACCTACCGTTGCGATTTTATTGGCTTCTATAATATTTATTCGTCTAGTTATTAATGTCTCAATTTATTAACGCTGCAGAGAAAACCTAAGGAGAGAACTTGGATAATAAATCATTTCTCTCGCGTCGGAAGATGTTTAAGGTGGATGTAAAGGAGAACATCTACTGTGTATATGCATCGTGTAAGTAATCTGTTATATAACAAACTTTGAATATCAAGCGAAACATATTCCCGCGTCTATCAAATGAAATGGCGTTTCAATCCCTCTATTTGATTTGTCATGGAATACTGTGACAAAAGCATAGGGATTGCAACCAGTATATGTATTTGGCTTTTGAATCGTCCGAAAATTCAAGATATAAAGGCAAATCCGGCCATCCATAAAATTCGTGGCGAAATATCAAATGCGACGTGATTCCGCGGTCTACTGTCGCATTGAAAAGTGACAAGAGCTGCGGTTTGCACGAGTTTAGTAAATGGCTGATCGAAATCTCTCGTCGCACAATCGCGGGGAAAGTATCGCTTTTATCGCTTACAGAGCGAAGCCCAGTGGCGATTGAAAAAAAAAAATTGTTTCATATGTCAATGGATCAAATGAAATGATTTATAATGGAAAAAAGCGTAAACGTATTAATCTGTTCATGACGCGCTTTGTCCAGTTGATGAAAGTATGAAAGACATGTTTATAATCAGTTCTCTCATGGTCATCGTATTAGCGTACACCACAGTCTTTCACACACGTATCAACGTGTAAATTTTCCTGAAATTCCAGAATGTAATTTGATGATGCGACCATAACTTTCTACATACGAGCGCGAATATACAACGTTGGGTTAATAATACATATTTAAGCAAAACCGATGTTACATAATGTGTAATATTATATTGCATTTCTGTTGACAATTGTATATATGCGATACGTATATAAATATATTTGCCGATAAAATCAAGTAAAATAGATTTGAATTTTGTATTATTCAAATCGCTCTGTCGCACATACCGTTTTCTCTTTCATAGCCATTCTAACTCTATAATTCATTTTTATCCTTTCCTGGCACAATCAAACATTTAGCTCGATCGATCCTAAAGTTTCTCCGAAGTCGAAAACATGCTATCCGCGTGGCACTTTTAACGGCTAGTCATAGGAACGACCACCTCTCTCTAGGGATTCAATTAAACACTTTCGCTCTGAGAAAAATTTACAACTCTGTTTACGCGCCTTCCTGGTAAACCGGTTCTTAATCCCGGATCTTCGTTCCATTAATTGAATCGTCTAAATCCTCATCGGACTAAGACGTCCCGTCTTATTGAAAATGCTTTTTTTTTAATCCAGCAAAGAAATGAAACTACATTTTCAACCGTCATGCGAAAATTTGGTCGAATTCTAACGTTGAGTTTTTAGCCAGATATAAAAGAAGCGTGTATAATGAAATACGGGGACTAATAATAAGCTCGACATAAATTTTGAATCGCGTGAAGCATATTTAGCAGTTTATCTAGTCGACAGAAATCTGTTCATTTGACACGATTTATGCCGAGTATTTAGCCATCCGACCTCCGCTTAATCATGAATTAATTAGCCGATCACTCATACGCTGCTCCCATACATACGCGATGCTTTGTAATATCAGATGGATATCCGTCATAATTTTATTGACTTTAATCATCACATTGCATCATCATGCAAAAGTGTTATATACTCACTAAAAATAAAATGAAATACTCAATCTTTCATAAATTTAAAGCCGGCCGCGCATAATTTCGACTCTGTTTCATGTTTATTTCATCTCCCATAATTGTTCGATATCCGTTGAAACTCCAAGAGAACCTTAAACTGTACTCAATTCCGGATTGAGCTAACCATTTGTTCGAGTAAAGTGAAATTGATTGGCGTCGTTGCGCTATACTAAGGCAAGGAGGAACGTAAATTTTAATTCGCAAGCTACCGAGAGTCGAGAATTGTATAATATTCCACGTAACCGCGCGATTAATCACACTCGGCAACTCGGAGATACGATTTTCTTCTGTATCCGCCGGTCTCTCCGGGCCGAGAAAGCGGCCCGAGAATCCGGGGACTTAAAGAATTCGTCGCAGTAGAAAAAGGCGGATGCGAAATGAGCTGTCAAGCGCCCTCCGGAGATTCCCTCTGTGTATTATACATGGTCGTGTGCGCGCGAGCGGACCTGTTAACTACGTCTTGCGACGAGAGAGCTTTGCAAACTCCTCACGCCTGGCCTTACGTCGACAATGTAAGGAGACGCGAAAACGGGAGAGAGAGAGAGAGAGAAATAAATAGATAGATGAAGAGAGAGAAAGGGAGGCTTCTCGACGCGGAGAGAGCAGTGATGCCGAAGAGGCGACGGCAGACTTCCGTGTCGTAGAAGGTATAGAGGCGGGTCGACGTGTAGTCCTCCTGGAGCCTGCGGCTACGATTATTAATGGGCAGGGCGTGACACCCCGCGAAATAACCTCTCTAACCCCGGCTTTCGTGCCAGGACCAACCGGCCAACCACCCGCCGTACCAACTCCGTAGTCGCTTGTCTCCTCATAGGCATTAACTAGGCCAAGAACTACTCATTTTCCAGAACGAACTTTCCGCCACTCACACATCCCCCTTTTTTTCCGCTTTTTCACCGATCAATTTCATCCGGTCAGTCACTGATGGTCAGTTTTTTGTTACATTTACCGGTTTTTTTTTTTTTTTTTACTATTACACTGACACTCTGCTGTTATTTAAATTTTTCTATTAGTTGTCTAATTTCTCTATTTTCCTCAATAAATTTATTTTATTCTACGAAGCGTTTATGCTATGGACATCTTTTGTTCAAAATATGGTACTGCTAACGGTAATTCGAGATTAATTGCCAAGAACAAGAATGGAGAAATCGCAAAAAGTAAGACCAAAGAACGGAAAGAGGTTTCACGTGAGTTTGAAATAAACTTGTGAAGATAGTACCGAGTAATATGCTTCCGCTTTAGCCAGGTTCGTGCTTAATTAATAATCATAGCATCTCGAGAATTAATTGCTTTAAGAGTTGTTCTTTCGTATATTGTGAGAGAATATTTTAATTGGGAAAAAATAACGAAAGAGTTGTATAACTATGTCATGCGCTTCGCTGAAGACGAACTAAAATCGTATCACCTTTATTTTTTTTTTTTTTTGTTTTCTGTTTTTCTAGCTTTACGTCGGAGGCAGTGGCTTACAACATTGTTTTGTATATAACTGTTCAGTACGCATTCGCCAACAAGCGCGGTTTCTCATTTGCATAATAAACTAGAGAACTTTAAAATATATTTAAATATTAACGAATGGCAGGGCGCGCTGCATTGTGTGATGTTTAGCTGAAATTTTATTTTCCTCGTTTTGTGAAAGGTGTTTATATTTTTCATTATTTTATCTTTTACATAAACATACACACGTACAATACACATTAATACACATATATGCATATATATTATATTACACATGTAATATAATTTACTGATACAGTTGGCAATAAAAGACAATTGTAAGTTTTCAAAGTCATTGAAAATAAGGAGAGAATTTGGATTTATAACAGCTTGATGCAAAATACGGCGTCCTCGAAGAATCGATTTTGAACTGGTCGAGACATTAGAATGCGACTCGAGCCACGATGGTCAAAGATGGTCACAGGTCCCGTTTTGCAAATTGCTCACTCCGACGGACGATCGTTAGCGCCAATCTCATGCATAAACGGATAGACGAGCTGCGGAAGTACGAAACATTTCACGATGTATAGCGTTACACGAAATTTCAGAACGTGGATCGACTCCCACCGCGGCAAACTACTTTCGAATGCGGGCTTCGAGCGTCCGACTACTTGTCAAGCAAATTCGCATTACTTCCAGTATTATGATCGCTCTTGTAGTTACCGGCATACAACACCCGCGGTAATAACTCTCCGACTTGCTTGCGCATTTCGCATAGTCATCGCGACAATAACGGTAGCTCACTCTAATTCTATCTGGCCCATATCTCACACGTAAGATAATAAGATGCCTGTTTTGCGGATGATGTATGTTTTCGACGGTAGAATTCATAGTTAGAAATGTTCTACTTATCAGTATCGGAGTATACGTCCGTTCATAAATGTCCGAGCAAATATTTCACAACTGATTGAAGTTACAAAAAAATTTAATAAGAGAAATGAATCAATTGGTGTAAAAAAAAACAAATAATTGTTTAAAAAAAAATGCATTGTAAATAATTACATACTTTTTCTTAAAAACAATTATTTTGTATACCAATTGATTTGTTTCATTATTTTGTACATAAAAGTATTACGGTAAGATTATCGAAAACTAAATATTTTACAAAATATTTTATATTTTATGTCAAAATGTGTCAGATTAAGATATAAAATAACTCAAAAAATACTTAATGAAAAAATACTTAAGGCGTAGAAGTGATAATAAGGTGTAGATAAAAAAAAGTAATATAAAATATAAGGAGACGAAGATAGAATGTAAGTTTAGATGTAAGGATTAGAGAGTAAAGAGGCGAGGTAGAAGGAGAAAAAGAGAAAGAAGTAGAGAAGCAAGGTAGGGTGCGTGCGGAGGACGAAGGAATAGGTTGAGTTAAGTAGAAATGTAAGGACAAGAATAAGTTAAGATACGATAGGTTAAGGAAGAATTGTAAAAAATTGTAACTCCATAGGAGAACATTAAAGCTTCATATATACATACTTAATGAAAAAAAAACTTTATTATAGTGTTTTAAAAAAATCTCAAAGGCTATGAGAATATGCAATAAAATATAGGGTGTTTCATTAAATAAAACGATGATGGCTTTTATAACTTGAAAAGGTTACGAGTAAAAAAAATTTTTTTACATGTGCTTTATTGCGGACTAAAAACTGTGCTAATTTCTCTTATATATTCTCGTATATATTTGAATAAAAAATACGTGCCAAGAAAACGTATGAATTTAAAAGATACTTTCAACTATAAATCGTGTGTCTCGTGAGATCTTAGTCTTCCGATTACAGGAAGATCAACTAACGGACAATCGAAGATCACTTGGCTTCTCGAAAAAAAAAAAAAGAGACTCGATTATACATCGTATGAGCAAACATCTCTCCGTTGCCTCGTCAAACTTTACCGAGGAGATCGAACTCTCATATTGGACCGCCGCGACTTAAGGTAATCCGCCGTAAATAATGCACATCACCTAGATGCGGCGTTTCTGAGCCGCTCTGGGCCAAGCGCGAAAAGCTGCCGTGAAAACTCGTTGAGCTCTTTTGCTATAAGTTCGAAAGACGTTCTCCCCAACCCCTCGATATCGACCGCATTCTGCAGGGGCATCATCCATCCGCTGCTATGAAGCCTGCGTTTAGCGGTATTTCCCACAAGAGCACGCGTCATCGACTCAACGTACGTGCTATTTTATCCTGATACCAAAGTTTCGCGGTTTACATCGTCCTAAGATGAAGGGGAAAAAGCACCAAGAAGAAAAGAACGAAAATGTCATCTTGCAATAGATCAAAAACGAACTGCAGATAGTACACCGAGAATTGCTTATCAGGCAAAAAAATGAATCAAGTTAAATATATCTTTCTCTCTCTCTCTCTCTCTCTCTCTCTCTCTCTCTTTCTCGGACCAAATTTTAGTTACAAATAATATTAATAATAATGTGACATATATTCTGTCGTTTAATCCAATTCGATAAACTCGATTAAAATCGCATCAATCATTATCCATGCTAATTCCAATTTGATAGATTGATCTGTATTTCTCTAACTACATGGAATAAATTATCTATCAACACGATAAATTAATATAAATTAATATCCATTATCTTGTCTGGTTTTTGTAATAAAACTCTCCTTTTCGCTTACATTATTTTCATAACAAAATTGGAAATATGAGAATTAGCGTGCTCTCTTGGAAATAATGTACACTTTGAACGTTAATTTGATTATGCAATGAGACAGAGAAAGGGAGAGAGAGAAAATGAGAAAAATTACAAAATGAAGAATAGTTGTACGACAACTCGACTAACTAAAAGAGAAAATGGGTCAATCTGAATATTTTCAACTTTGCTATAAATACACCATGCATTGGTATTAAACGACGGTCCGGGTGCGAAACAGTATAGTCACGAGAAACAAAAAAAAGTTTGATTAAGTGACGATAGAAAATTAATGCAACATGTCTTAAAAGTGCTTCAATGTATTATTTAGCATATAACAAATTATATGCTAATCATGGAGAGAATTTTCGTTTTACTTTTAGTATCATATAAGATCGACTATTTTCTTCGTATTATCAAGAATATAATTTAATACAAGAAACTCGTTGAACAAAATGAAAATAGAGACCAGACAAAGATTACGAAGAGCGATCGAGTGGCGACCCGTCAACGACAACGCCTCCGTCTCGGTCGCGTTTGGCTCCGGCTATTTAACCTGATGAAATCACAGCTTTTTCTCAGTATTCCTAAACGATCGATTGGCGCAAGAAGATGTGCAAAGACGAGAGCGACCGAACAACTGATTTCTTTGGAGCGTGAGAAAGACAGAAAAGCCGGAGAAACGGAAGACGGTATAGGAAATAAAGGAGAGACCGGTAATAGGCATCGACGCCGTCTTGAAAAGCCATGGAAAATCAATTATCGATCGTGCAAAGGAGTGGAAAATTATATCGATAGGCGTCGAATGCCGAAGGTGGCTGGCATCCCTTCGATCTCGCCTCCTTTGAGCTTTCCAAACACCGTTATCAGTACTGAACAGAGAGTGATCCTTTAACTGTGTGTTTTCGAGTGTGGTTGATTCCTCGGAGCAAGTAAATGTCCCCTGATACAATTAAGGAAATACAATGGGACAAATTATCCCCCGAGATTTTCAAACTGCATATTAAGAATGATTTTCGTACGTCAAAGAAAAAAAATCAGATTTCCCTAATCATTTATTTTTTCTATTAGAATGCACATAAGATTTAAATAAATAATATTTATCGATCTTTTTACGTTCAAAAAATAATTTTTCCGGAAAATAAATATTTCCTCCGTTCTTTGCTCGCATATTAATGATAACGTATCGAGATACAAAAGTATATGTTCGTAAAAACATACCATTTAACACGTGGACGGACACCATAGTGACTGCTGCTACATTCGCCAGGGCGCAGCTGTAGTTCCCGCTATCTTTTTTATTCGCATTTGCAATGTAGAGCCTAGATACCGCACCGGCTGCACCCATGTCCGTCTTGACGCTGGAACAGAAAGCAGAATGTTCCGTATAAACCTTGATAACGGTGACCATTATCGCGCGTGTTTCCGTGAAATAAAGAACGGATGTTCACTCGACAGTTATTTGTGCGAAAAGGGTGGAAAAAGAATATTAGTTTGCAAAAAAAAAGATACGAGAGCAGTGATACAATTGTCTTGAACAAATAATGTAATATCAGATAAAAGAAATGATTGAAGATAAAACTGCGTGGAACAAAACATTGACAATACAATATGACAATACAAAAAAACACACATAGTTGGACAATCATATATTTTTATATTTTATTTAATCAACTAGTAAAAATTCTTATTTCGTATATAATATTGCGTGTGCAAAATTTTATAGCGTTAAAAAATAATACTGCAACCTATGGCAGATGACGGTAACTTATGATTTATGACGATAGCAGGTGGCTATGTAAGAATGCCCTTGAGGAGCCTTTCGAAGGAAGGAATATAAAAACGAGGGTAGTTTATATCAAAAATTTATCATCCATGCGAACGAAAGACTTTTTTTTCTATGCCACACCGTCGTACTAGGTAGTAAACAGATTCGTTCCGCAGTTCACAACCACAGTGTAGACAAACAAAATAACCACTCATCCTACACAATCCCTAAAAGATTGTAAAACGCGAACCTCTTTTCGTGAAAGAAGATTTATCAGAAATACATATCCAAAAAGTATATCCTCTAAAACTATACCTCATAAAATGTAATTTATATCACAAATTTATTTATTACTTTATGCATTTTTATGCTAATAAAGTAGATAAAAATAAGTAAGAAAAAATATTAAAAAAGCGTGAACATATAAGGTAAATGTAGCCCAAAAAAAATATATAAATTTTAATATATAATATATAATATA